CCTTCTCCCCTCCTCTCCCTCCTCCTTACCCTCCTCTCCCTCTTCCTCTGCTTCCTCCTAGACTACCCGGCCTCTTTAGCAATGGTCAGGTGATGCATCCTCCCAGCCTGCCTCTCACCCCTGTCCTGCCATCCATCCTTGTCTGGATGGTGGAGACAGCGTGTCTATCATGCAGGAGGGTTGCCCTGAGCCCATGCAGACTGTGCATGAAGAGCCATGTGGCTCAGCGCCCCAACAGTCTGTCTGTATGACTCCAGGCAGCCAGCAGGCCCGGGCTGGGGAGAGGGTACATACTGCTCATGTGATGACAGCGGTGCTGGTGGGATGAGGACAGAGATGGCAGCTGATGTATGTTGAGCAAAACACTCAGCACATTTAACATTTGTTACCTTACTGATTTTACCTATAAACCCTGTAAAGGTACTGTTACAGCACCCATTTTATAGATGAAGACACCGAGACTCAGAGAAGTTAAATGACTCATCCAGGGTCACCTGGCTGGGTAAATGGTAGGGCTAGCGTTAAAATGATGTGTCAGCTGACTACCTAGCTCCTTATAAACTGGTAAGGACTATCATTCTCAAAGCTCAAAGGACCCCAGATGTAGGCCACATAGCCCCCTTTAGACAGGAGTAGATGGCTCCTCTAGGGCCGCCTATCAGAGGCTGGGGCCAGGTTCACATTCCCAAAGCACTCAGTTCCAGAAACAGACCGCATGCCCTCTGGCCTTGTGCTCTCAGCCCACTCTGAGAACCAGGCTAAGTAAGCCATTGATTTTGTAAGTGTCTTCCTGTTGGTCCGCCATCAGGAGATGTCCCCAGCATCCCATACCGCCAGTGTCCTGCCCCGCTGCTCCCATCTTCTTGCCACAGAGCCACCTGCCTGTTCCTGCCGCAGCACCGCCCTCCCAGCCCTGTCCAGGTTTGGAGCCTTAGGCTGCCCTCCTCTGGCCCTAGGACTGGCAAAAATGAGACTGTGACAGAGAAAGGATTGAGTCTATGCAGGGAATTCTCATTGCTTAGGTGTGTTTTCAGTCAGCAGGTATTTATGGAGGCCCTCCTGTGTAACAAGACCCTAGATTAAATAGTAACTGGGGTTGTGGCTGTGAGCAAGACACTATTCCTGCCCTCGGAGCTCACTGCCAGAGGAAAGCCCTTGACTAGAAAGCCTGTCCATAGGGAGTTCTAGTGGCTTAGCGGTAAGGAATTGCACTGCCAGCGCAAAGGTATGCGATTCAAATCCACCAGCTGCTCCGTGGGAGAAAAATGGGCAGTCTCCTTCCTCCTATGCAGTTTACAGCCTCTGAAAACCCACTGGAGAGGCAGCTATGGGTCAGTTCAGATTTAACAACCGAAAGTCTCTTCGAGTACCAGAGCCTATTCTCATGCACAAGGTAGCCGAGAGGCTTGAAGGGGCGAGGAGCCGAAGCAGCATACGTAGGCAGGGCTGGGACAGGGTAGGGAGATGGCAGACCTGGCTGAGGGCAGAAAGAATATTCTAACAGAGGCAGCAGGCTTGGTGAGAGGCTGTGCAGGGGTGTTTCCAGCTCCCCACATCCTCTTTGGGACCCCCCCCACTTTTTTGTTGGACAGCATCCTTTTTTTTTTTTTTTGGACAGCATCCTTAAGGATCTTCCCAGCCCCAAGTGTCACTTTTTTTTTGTTTGTTTAGTATTTTGAAATATTTATTTTCAGTTTCAAATTTGTCTTTCTGAATGAAGTGTCACCTTTTTAAACCATAAGCAGCTTGCAGTGCTGGAGAGCCCAGAGCTCTGAGAAGTCCCCTGACGTGTTTCTGAGCTCCCAAGGCTGGGCCGTCTGAGCTCCTTCCCAAGTGAGCAAAGTTTAACTCCACCAACCGTTCCTGCTGACTTAACCAGTGTCCCCTGGAACCCCAACAGGCAGAAGAGCTGTTCTTGTCCGCAGGAACTCTGCAGCCCTCTCCTTGGGCCCGCGTTTGGTGGTCTTCCCTGGCCCTGCATGAAGCCCACTCCTCTCATTTCGTCACCCTCTGTCTCCTCAAAAGGTCCAGCTGCAGCTGCTCACAGCCATTGTGAAACTCTTTCTGAAGAAGCCTACGGAGACCCAGGAGCTGGTGCAGCAGGTCCTAAGCCTGGCCACCCAGGTGGGTGCTCAGCCTCCAGCAGGGGGAGCTTTGGTCCTAAAACCCAAACCTCAGTGTGCTACCCAAGGCTGGCACCTCGAGAGAGCCTGGCTCCAGGAGGTATCAGTTCATAGAGCTCAGAGTCTAGATGTGAAGTCACAGTGGAGCGGGTCAAGTGGCCGAGTTGTGACTGCATTTAAGAGACCGCCTGGAGAGAGGACAGGTGTGCAGAGAAGGGAAGGTGTGGATGAGAACAGACTGGACAGAGTGGCAGCTCAGGGCAGGGACTAGAACGGAGACGGGGCCTGAGTGCGCGAGTCCTCAGGCTTCGCCGCCATCATGCAGCCCCTCAGTCACGCTTGGGTCTCGGGTTGAGTTTCACCGAATTCTGATCACCCCCACCAGGACTCAGATAACCCCGACCTACGGGACCGTGGCTACATCTACTGGCGCTTGCTGTCCACCGATCCAGTGGCGGCCAAGGAGGTGGTACTGGCTGAGAAGCCTCTCATCTCGGAAGAGACGGACCTCATCGAGCCCACACTGCTGGACGAGCTCATCTGCTACATCGGCACGCTGGCCTCCGTCTACCACAAGCCGCCCAGCGCCTTTGTGGAGGGCGGCCGCGGCGTGGTGCACAAGAGCCTGCCTCCCCGCACGGCCTCGTGAGTGGCTGCGCCAGAGCCACCCCCCTGGCTCCTCAGTCCTGGGGTTCCTGGGGTTCCAGCACTTCGGCCCAGTGATGGCCCCAGACAAGGCCCGAGTCAGAGGCACATTTGAGTGTCCGAGAGACCTTTAACTGAGTATCACACATTAGACATTCACTAGGGAGCTCTGGTAGCCTGTGCTGCAATCCCAAAGGCACTCAGTTCTAATCTACCAGCTGCTCCTTGAGAGAAGAGTGGGCATTCTCCTCCCATGTGATTTGTTGTTGATTATTGATTGTCATCGAGTCGAGCATGACTCGTAGCGACCCTATGAACAAAAGGCTTGAAGCCTTTCTGTAACTATCATCACTTAGCAACGTTCATAGAGTTTCCAGAGGCATGTTGTTGAGGAAGTGGATGCCGCTCCTGCTTCCAGTCCCACGTGATTTACTGCCTCTGAAAACCCACTGGAGGGCCAGCTGTGAGTCAGTTCAGACTCGAAGGCACACAGCAACAACTGATGTTTACTGCGACTTCATCTAGTCTTTACCATGGCTCCGGGAGGAATGTTCCCACTCAGCAGACAAGGACAGCAGGCGTAGGAGCTTGAGTGATGGGTCCAGGATCCCACAGCTCCACACAGCAGAGCTGGGACTCAGACTTGATTCTGTTTCATTTTCCCCACCTTTCCCGGAAGCCGCCTGCAGGTGGTGGCGTGGCCTGGTCTGCTTGCGGACAGGAATGCCTGAAAGTGGATCAGATGTGGCAGATGGGCGTGGGGAGGGGAGGGGTCCTGGACACAGCCCCCACTTGGGACAATGGAGGTACCTGTCCTGGTTGGAGGCTCCCTCCTGACGGGCCCCTCCCTCCTGTATCCCCAGCAGGAGCGAGAGCACAGAGAGCCCCGAGGCCGTCCCCACTGGAGCCCCCTCTGCTGAGCAGCCTGATGTCATTCCTCCTCAGGGAGATCTGCTTGGAGACCTTCTCAACCTGGACCTGGGCCCCCCAGTCAGCGGCCCACCCCTTGCCGCCCCCTCTGTGCAGATGGGAGCGGTGGATCTTCTGGGTGGGGGCCTCGACAGCCTGGTATGTCCAGAGGGGTCCCTTCTCTGGGTGCTAATGATGGTCCTCCGTGGAGCCCTCACTACGTGCTGTCTGTAGCAGACACCAGCCAAGTCCCTCAGGCGCCCTGAGGCCAGGCCCTGCCATCTACCTGTGACAGTGACTGCGTGAACCCAACCTAGAGATGAGAAAACCAAGGCTTAGGTCAGGCGCCCTTGCCTCTGTCACAGTACAGCTGGGTAATGGCACCGACAGGACTCAGATGCCTGTCCGACTGCTGAGTACCAAGAGCTGGGCCAGTGTGCAGTCAGCCCTCCTCTGGCCCCCTCCCAGCCAGTCCCAGCCTTGACAAGCCAGGCCTGTGAGCCCTCACCTTCACCTCTGCACCAGGCTGATTTGGGCTTATCTCAAGAGGGGCCACAAGAGGTCAAGGACAGAAGATCCTGCCTTCCTCTCTTTTTAGCAGAAGTGGAGGACCTTGTCCCAGTGTCTCCCCTGAATTTTATTGGGTAGCTCATAACACCAGGTAGAAGGGGCTGAGCCCCTGTCTCTCAGCCTTGCCTGACTCAGGTCTCCAGGGCTGCAGCCTGGGGAGCAGTCTAATGATAGATGCTGCTAGGTTAAGGACATGCTGGATTGGGGTACCACTGCGGGGAGTGCCCTTCACAGGGACAGCGTCTGGGCCTCTCTCAGACTCCAGCACAGCCTCTTCCCGAGTTCGTCTCGCACAGAGCAGCGCTGACTAATCTTTTTCCTCTTTCCTTTCTCTCGTCTCTCTGATCTGCCCTGGCTTTCCTCTCTGCATGTGGCTTCCTGTTCTCTTCACCCTGCCTGCTTCTGCTTGGAGATGGGGGATGAGTCGGAAGGGGTACGGTTCAACCCTTTTGTGTCACCACGCCTCGTCCCTGCTTCTCATGGGAATGCTGACCCAGCCTGGAAGGGACAGGAAGTGGCCAAGGAGCCCCCCTACCTGCTGAGCCCAGCCCCTGTGTCCTCAGTCAGCCCCCACCCACCCATGACTATCCTCATGCCGACCCCTCGGTCTCCACAGTCCCTTTGACTCCCTAAGGCTGAGCTCGCACCCACTTAGCCTGGGCCTCGAGTCCCCTTCAGTCCCTAAGATGAGTGTCCCCTCACCCTAAGCGGGCTCAACATCTCTTCTCACCTACCTCGTTTTCTGTCTGTGACTTAGAGGTGAGGTGGGTGGCAGCCCTGCAATCCCTTCTGGCCCTTAACTCCCTGCTTCCAAAGGGTCAGGGGCTCCACCCCGAGCCCTGATGCCCTGCGTCTGACCCATTCCCTTCCTTTCCAGATCGGAGGCACCAATTTCACAGCCCCACCAGCAGCAGCTGTACCAGCCAACCTTGGGGCGCCCATTGGCGGTGGCCTGAGTGACCTCTTTGACCTGACCAGTGGCGTGGGCACCCTGTCAGGATCATATGTAGCCCCCAAAGCAGTAAGTAACACACGTACCCTCATGGCAGGAGCAGAGAAAAGCACAGACACTGACTTATTTCCTTAAGAGACCCCAGCGCTGGCTAGTGGGGGTGGGAGACAGAGGCTGTTGTGAGGTCACTAACAGTGGGGGCCTAAGTCAAGATTCCTGGAGTTCAGATTTTGTGGAACAAGTTAGAATTAGCCAAGCAAGTGGAGAGAGGGTTCCAGACAGGGAACAGCCTGTGGAAAGAAGGCTTCGTGGTGTGAGAAAGCTGGTATCTTTTAGGGAACTGGCAGGACCCTTTGTGATTAGAGCAGCAGTTCTCAGTGCTGCCTGACCCAGGGCCCCTCATTCATCATAAACACTTCATGCTGCCCCTTTCCAAGCCTTGCATGGCATTTCCAGCCTGTGTAAGTATCAATAAGCTGCTGTAACAGTGTGAAGTAGACAGAAAAGGCAGGCGGTGTAGTTTTCTCTGTTCCCGTGCCAGAAACGTTTGGACTTGCCTGCTCTTGAGGCCAGGAGGAGAGTGTCGCCTGTGTGCAGCAGTGCATTGTCACCGTGATGGTGGCAGCTACACTTGACGTCTGTAGCTTGAGCGCTGCAAGTGGTGTTGCCAGCAGTATCATTAGCGTCGGAGACGGTCCTCAGCTCTCAGGGAAGTTCTGCACAAAATGAAGAAACAGCCTCACGTTGGTTTTCATGCTCATTGGCCCCGTTGGTGTCAGAGCACCTTGGCTGGAAGAAAACAGATGAGAGTTGCGGGACAGTGGTTCATGGCGAGGCCACATGTCCTTCCCATGGCAGAATGTCCTGACCCCAGGTCACTGAATGTTGTGACACACATAGTGATGACCCACAAATGCTCACTGTGCCCCCGCCCCCCGAGATCATGGACTAGGAATCCGAGAAGGTGGCGGCTGGCGGGGTGAGCAGGGCCAGGTTAGGAGTGGCTGGCGCATCGGAAGCCACCGGAAAGTTTTGAGCAGAGTGACAAGGCGCTTTAGAAAGGCCACAGTGGCTGCAGCACGGAGCAGGGACTAGAGGACATAGGAATGTGAGAGCCAGGAACCTGGGCAGGAGACAGGAATCAGATGAGGAGTAGTCACGGCCTGGGCAAATGGGGCGTCTTCGGGATGGAGACACAATGACTTGAGAGCTTCTGTGGATCCTGGTGCTGCAAGGTGTGGGAGCTGGTGGGGAGGAAGCAGCAGCATTCTGGCTGGAGCAAGGGGTGAGAGGAGGTAACATTTGCTGAGTTGGGGACAGGAGAAGGAGCAGAGAGAGCTGAGTTTGAGGTCAGGAGCAGGGAGGGCACGGTGTAGCCGGGTCCTCAGCATCAGGGTTGCTGCAGAGGGCGGCCACCCGGCTGACTTACGGCTGTATCTGCCACTTCATCCACAGCAGAGCCTCCCTGTTCTGAGGTCCCCTCCCTGGAGCAGGGAACAGCTGGACTAGGAGTGCAGCGGTCTCTTGATGGCTATCTTTCCCTGAGCTAGCCTCACCCTGAGTGTGTCATCCACCTTGGCAGCAGTGATGACAGTCTCCCTGAACAGGGCTTGGGGCCTCAGGGACACTGATTTCACAGCAGACACTGTGCTCGCAGCCGTGAGCACAACGCATCCCTCACCCACCGAGCCCTCCAGCAGACTTGAGCTGCTGTCCTTCTCTGTGGTTGACAAGTCCCAGTGTTGCTTGAGGTCATAGCTAGTTAATGACAGATTCTGAAAATACACACAGGGTAGAAGCCCCAGACACACTCAGTCAAGCCTCAGAGCTCCTGAGAAGCTCTCGTGTGCCTGCCTCTGGATTGTGGGGTATCTGGAGTGTTGATATGCAGTGTGCTAGAGAAAAGGTCCCCTTGGCTAACTGTCTGCCTAATACAGGAGGCTGGGCCATATGCCGTAAACGCGCAGTCGAGTAGGCATCGGGTCAGACCAGTATCAGAAGGTCAGCACACACCCAGGAGGGCTTGATGACAGCCCATGTAGTCACTGTCGTGCTATCAGCAATCCAAAACCTGATGCCTGCCCTCGAGGAGCTTGCCCTCAACTTGTATAGACTTCTTATTAGACCTCATCGCTACTTTGTCAAGGTGGAGGCCTCAGTGGGTATGTCAACTGATGGAAATGATAGTTGGAAGGAACCACCTGGTGGGCTTCCTGGAGGAACACGTGCAGGACTTAGTCCACTGCCTCAGCTGTCCATGTGCTAGCTCTCCCCGACAGTCACACATGCTCCTTCAAGACCAGAAGCAGTAGATCTGGGATCTCATTGTTCTTAACAGCAGTGACTCTACCTAAAATTAATTGTTCGATGTGCCTGCCTTCCCCTACCCCACCACTCCGTCCTGTGGATCCAAGTAAAAAACAAAACAAAACACACCAGCAGCATAGCTGTCAAGAAATCCAAAGACATATTCTCATTGCAATGCATTACTTTGATGATAGATTGTGTGACGGCAGAGCTGCTGTTAAGGATGTCTTTAAAGTGCTAAAGAGCAAGGATGTCCATTTAAAGACTAAGGTGTACTTGCCCCCAAGCCATGATATTTTCAGTTGCTTCATTTGCATGTGAAAGTCAGACAGTGAATAAAGAAGATCGGAGAGAAATTGATGCCTTTGAGCTGTGTTGTTGGAGCAGAGTACTGAGTATCCTTCAGTACCCCACGGGCTGCCAAAAGAACAAACAAATCTGTCTGCGAAGAATTGCAGCCAGCAGGCTCCTTGGAGGCAGGGACGTTGAGGCTCCATCTCACATACTTCTGGGCGTGTTATTAGGAGGGGTCAGTCCTCAGAGAAGGACATCATGCTTGGAAAGATCAGAAGAGAGGAAGACCCTCAAAGAGATGGATTGACAGTATGATCACAAACAGGCTTCCGCGCTGTAAGATTGTGAAGATTGGGCAGGCTCGGGCGAGGTTTTACAAATCTGTTTTACAAATCGGATGGTATGCATACAAATCAGTGTGAGACAGAATCAACTTGACAGCCCCTCACAGGATGACAGCCGCCACCGTCCTGTGAGAGTCAGTAATGCTCTTTGAGCCACCGCAGCCCTGCCTGATTTCTCAGCACCTCAGGCTGGTGACAGCGTCTGTTCAGTTCAAGCAGCGAATACTGAGCGTGAGTTCTGAACCGGGGCTGGTCCCAGACACCATGTAGCTACAGCAGCCAAGGTAGAGACACGCTCCCGGCCCTGAGCAAACGTCTGTGGTGCAAGGTCTCCTGCCCAGATGCTGAGAGGGAAGGGAGGGAGGGAAGCAGGATCCACCCAGCGACTCTGCCTTCATGAGTCACGACTGAGAATACAACCCTGTCCCGGGGATACAAGGGAAGCTTGGGAGCGCACCGAGGAGGGTGAGGGAGGAACACGTGCGAGTTCCACGGGCGTAGTGGGCAGGCGGGCGACAAGCTGCTGGGCTCATGGTTGGTGGGGGCCACTGAGGGCCTTGGAGGAGCACTGGGCTCCAGTCTGCATCTTTAAAGAATTTTGCCACTACGGAAAGGACGAGAGAGGGCTGGGGTCCTGGGCTCACTGGGGAGCTCTGCTGGGTTCAGCTGTGTGGGTCAGAAGCAGCTCCAAGGCGAGGTGTGTGTGGGCTGTGGAGCCAACAGGACGGGGGGCGGGGTGGTGCTGCATAACTGTTCAGGGGAGTGGGGTGGGGTGAGGATTGGGGCCCAGACGGCTCTGAGGGGCTTGGAGTGGCTTCCCCTGCAGTGTGCGGCATGCACTTAGAGGTGCATGGAGCTGAGCCTTTTCACCTCGGGACCTGTGAGGGAGGCATCCTGGAGAGAGAAGGTCCAGGCAGGGTCGTGGGGCGGGTGGTACACAGACAGTGCTCTTCACGGCGGGCTCTGAGCCAGGCTGTGGGAAGCAGGAGCAGAGCCCTCCCTCATTGATCTCGCTGGGCAGCTGCCATCGCTCTGTCACTGCGGTGTGAATGTGGGCCTGGAGCCTCAGGTAGGCTCCCCGGAGGAGGTGGTCCTAGAGCTGAAACTCAGATGACGAGGGCAGTCAGGCAGCAAAGGCCTTGCCTGGTGAGGGTAACTTTTAAGTACTGTCCTTGGGCCACCTTTGGCAAGGACAGACGACTGTCATAACCAGGGAGGCTCAGGCTCTGGCCAGGGGCCCAGGATGCTGTTGGACATTTGGCTCTGTCCTTGGCCTGTTAAGAGCGGACGGGGACATGCTGTCTGGGTGCTGTCCTCAGCCCTGTTTGAAGATTTGACTGAGAACCGCCGTATATCCAGTGCCCTCTTGAGCTGCTGAGATCCTCGGCGCCCCACCCCAGTGTCTCTGGTGGACAGTGTCCTGTGTCTTTCCACCGTCTTGTGTAGAGGCAGGGGCGGTGGTCCGGGAGGCCCTCACGTGAACTGAGGAAGAGACAAACGACCACTCCTTCTCGCCTCTTCCCTGTAGGTCTGGCTCCCAGCCATGAAGGCCAAGGGGCTGGAGATCTCAGGCACCTTCACCCGCCAGGTGGGCTCCATCTCCATGGACCTCCAGCTGACCAACAAGGCCCTTCAGGTCATGACTGACTTCGCCATCCAGTTCAACCGCAACAGGTGAGCTCTGGGCTGCCCCTGCGGCGTGGCCAGAGCAGGCCTGACCGTGCAGGCAAATGACAGGGCTATTGCTCACCACTGCCCACAGGCCAAGACTGCACAGCAGTGGCATTTTGTCAGCACTTTTTCTCGCTCTTTCCTTTGCTCGGTAATGGTGGGATTGCTTCTTCTAGTGCAGGGTTTTACTAACAGATCACCCAGCCTGGCTGTTGCTCAGCAATCACTTCAGCTCTCAGGGGACAGCCCACCTCGTGCTGACAGGAGCGTGGGCCACCTCCCTTCCCCACGCCCAGGCCACTCATCTCTCATGTTAGAGCCTTCCCTGTCGAATGAGTGTTTCCAGGCTAGCGGACTTCCCCTGCCTCCAAGACAGTCAGACAAGGCCTCCCACCCAGTCTCCGGCATGGTGTCAGTGGGCAGGCCACCTGGCTGGGCCGAGGCTCAAGGCCGCAGCTCCTCGGGGGACCCCAGCAGCCTCTCTTGATGATTCTTCTTCCTGAGCAGCTCTGGTGATGAGCAAACTGAGCCTCTAAGAAGTTGACTGAAGGGGCTGCTCCCCCCACAGACAGTCCGTGGGCTCCCACCTTGGCTCCTGGGGGAGTGCGGGGGGATAGCTCTAGCTGCCCCCCTTGGATGAGTTGGAGGCCACAGGAGCACCTGGGCTCCTAGAGACAGTTGCCATGGTTACAGCTGGTAGCAAAACTTACTGTATGTTGACACTTCTTTGTGCCAGACCTGTCACCCAGGGCTTTCCATAGTCTTGCCTGAGCCATTTAATACCTCCTCTTTTTGGAATTTGGGACTCCTGCGCTCAAAGAGGAGAGGTCCATTGCAGTGATGGGCCCCCAAGGAGGCCTAGAGCTCTGGGTCTCAGCAATGCCACTCGTCCCATGTACCCAACACATGCCTGTCCTTCCCTGGGTCTCCATGTCATCTGGAAGGTGGGTGGCATGTGTTTTTATGAGGACAGGAGTTGGGTAATCATCAGAGGCCCGGCCTGCACACACAGCAAGTACTCTGGCCATGGTCCCGGTCAATCCTAGTGTGAGACATCTTCCAAGAACCTGCTTCTGGGCCACTCACACTTTTGGGGATCCCCTTGATTTGACCCACGTACTTCTCAGCAAAACTGGCCCCTTCTCATACCTCACTTGAGGTGGTCAGAGGCCTCCTGGGACCCACTGGCTGACAGCAGAGACGTGGGCCTCACGAGAAATTTCCCCTCTGAAACAGCTCACGGTCCAGGCACATAGCGCTAGACCAGCATGCCAGTGGCAGGCCTCGTGCAGTGCAGGGCTTGGGCATGGCCGTGTGGAGAGGAGGGATCTGGAGCTTGTCCTGCCCTGGGGTACAGAGTTAGGAGAGGCAAGCCTGCTGGAGAGGCTCCCAGGAGCCCGAGGTGCCAGCTCACCCATTTCAGCACCGCTCCCCTGCCATCCCCATGGGGGCTTCTCTCCCCAGCTTTGGCCTGGCCCCCGCCGCCCCCCTTCAGGTCCACGCACCGCTCAGCCCCAACCAGACCGTGGAGATCTCCCTGCCCCTCAACACGGTGGGCTCAGTCATGAAGATGGAGCCGCTCAACAATCTGCAGGTGCGCTGCATGCCACCGGGCACCCAGTCCTGTCTGTCCACTGCCAGTCTCGGGGGCAAGGGGGGCGAAGTGTGTGGTCCCCGTGCTGGCCAAGGCCTTTGTCCCAGAGAAGCAGGAGGTGTAACGAGGGAAGGGTGGGTGAGGGAAACTTTCATGAAGAGGTGTCAGCAGGGGAACCAGGGTTCCCAACCGTGGGGCATGACGGGAACACCCTTGTTACCCTCAGGTAGCCGTGAAGAACAATATTGACGTCTTCTACTTCAGCACCTTGTATCCACTGCACATTCTCTTTGTAGAAGATGGAAAGATGGGTGAGTTGTAAAGGGTGCTGAGGTTCAAGGTGGTGACACCCCAAGCGACAGATCGTCATGGCCCAGGTGTCTTGTGAGATGTCTAAGGGCCTCATCTCTGGCCCCGCAAGTGGCCAGTGGCAACAGGCATCATATCCCTAGTGTTCCTGGACCTCCTATGTTCTCCTGTCCCTCCCTTCAGCCTCACTGGCAGCCTCTGGACATTGTCCCTCGGGGCTCTCTGTCCACAGGAGCCCAAGTCTTACCACACACCCATCTTCTCATGGAGGGTCCTAACTGGCGCCCCTGACCATCCCCATGGGCCCTGTCCAGCCCTGTGTGGGATGCTCGGTCCTTGACACCTCAGTCCCCATGGGCCCTAGGCCACAGGCGGTGTGGGTCTTGTTTCACAAAGTCGTCAGACGAGAGGTGGGTGGCAGGCCAGGGTTAGCATGAGTTCCCTCCCTCTCAGCCACAGAGGCTCAAGAGGCCTGAGCTGCACCCCCAGGCGCCTTCCAGCCCCGTGGGAGGGGAAGGGGCGAGCTAGCACTGTATAGGTTCCTGGAGTTCACACGGAAGATGGAGCAAAGGGCAAGAGGCAGGAAGCCGTGTGGGGAGATCGTGCTGCGCAGAAAGCTGGTGAGGCCTGCATCCTGCTGAACAGGACACAGGGCCCCGGCACCCCCTCAACCCCACCCCGCTCACCCTCCAGACCGACAGATGTTCCTGGCCACCTGGAAGGACATTCCCAATGAGAACGAAACCCAGTACCAGATCCGAGACTGTCCCCTCAGTGCAGGTGAGGCGCGCAGGCCTTCACCTCACCCTGGTGCACATGCCCTCCTGGAACACGGGCCCCGTCTGATGGCGGGGCCTCCCCTGTCTGACCCCCACAGAGGCTGTGAGCAGCAGACTGCAGAGCAGCAACATCTTCACCGTCGCCAAGAGGAACGTGGAGGGTCAGGACATGCTTTACCAGTCCCTGAAGCTGACCAACGGCATCTGGGTGCTGGCCGAGCTGCGCATCCAGCCAGGCAGCCCCAACCTCATGGTGAGACCCCACCATCCTGACCGGGACGGCCCCTCCCGCTGCTGGGTTAGGGGTGGGCTCTGTGGGGACACTCTACCCCAACGAGGCTGACGACATGGTGCCAAGTGTCCTACAAGCCTGACAGGAATGGGAACCAGCCTCCTGTCCCCAGACAAGAACTTAGAAAACTCCCACCTCGGCCCCACCAAGTACCGAGACATGACACGCCATTTGGGGCCTCAGAAATTGCCCTAGAAGATTCTGTAGAAGTGGGTCTCGTGGGGCGATACAGCCAGCCTGAGGCCCCCAGGCAGTGTCCTTGCCGGTTTGTCCCTGGCTGCCTGCTGTGGGCCTTCAAGTCGGAGCCCGTAGGGAGGTGGTATCCCTGGAGTGTGTGGTTGGGGGTGGTCCATGCTGCCCTTCCAGGCCTCCGAGACCCCTCTGTATCTGGGTGCCCATGCCACTAGTATCCTCTGGCAGGCCCTTCCCTGCAGACCCTCCTCCCCAGCCCGCTGCAGCATTGGCACCCCGGTGGGTTGGGCTGTGGCCGGTGCCTTCGGTGGTGGTAATGCCCGTCTCCCTGTTTGGTTGCTGCATGCCCGCCCTCCCCGCTGGGCACCCACGGCACAGGACTTGGAGGTTAGCAGACGGCTTTTCTCTCCTCCCCGCCTTCCCGGCCATACTGCACGCACCCATCTCACGGCTTGGCTCCGGGGCACCCCCAGCCCTCCTGGCCTCATCCTGCTGCCCCTCCTGCCAACCAACATGCGTGCAGGCTGCTGACCGGGGTGGGAGCAGGCCACCCCCTCTCCTGCGATCCCAGATGGTTTCCCACCAGTGGCCCTGATGAGAGAGCCTGGTACACCAACTAACCAGGCCAGAAGGGACCCTCAGATGGCCTCCACGGCTCACTTTTGGAGCCCCGCCTGTCCCCTTCCCCCACTCCCTAATTGCTTCCTTCAGCACCAGTGAGTCTGAGTGGTGGGGTGGGCGGCACTTCACCGCACTGCTGTAGTCTCCAAGCTCAACCTCATTTAGAGCTGAGGCCGGAGCTTCCCACACAGGAAACCAGGGAACAACCACCAGCCCCCCAGTGTCACCGCCCCCTCCGGCCACCCCCAGCCCCCATTCCTCCTCAGGGTTTCCCTTCATGCTGGGCCCAAGGTCCCAGAGCTCCAGGGCCGTGGTGGGCCCTGTAGGGACGGGTGGGGAGCTGGTACAGCAGCCTGCCTCGTGAGTCACGCTTCTCGCCAGCAGAGCTCTGGTGGCTGAGCTGACAGCAGGTGTGTGGGCTGCAAGTATATTCGGTCCCTGCCCGGCCGCTGCAGCGGGCACCCTCTGCCTTGGCACACATCTGCTCCAGCCAGAGCTGCGTGCCACCCGGCACCGTGCACACGCACCGCCATCCACCACCCGCTGCCACCCCCACCAACCCTGCATGGTCCTCCCTGCCTGCTTCTTGATTGTTCCCAGCCAGAGACCACCCCCAAGATGACCTCCACTCAACCCCCCACTCCACAGCTATCCCTGAAGTGTCGTGCACCAGAGGTGTCCCAGCACGTGTACCAGGCCTACGAGACCATCCTTAAGAACTGAGGCCCACCCAGCTCCCGCTGCTGCCCGGCCAGCCCACACATCCTCCCGGAGTGAACCTCCACGCGCTTCCACGCTCTGTGACACCCCCCCTTAAGTTGCTGCTGACGTTTAGGGTCAGGTGAGGAGGGGGGGGACCAAAGGAACAGAGCCCACGTTGCAGCAGAGACTGGCCGGGGGACTCCAGGATTCTTCTCTTCCCTCCCTTGTGCGTGGGTGGCAGGCGTGGGGTTCTCTCCTCAGACTCCAGCTGCAGGAGCCCCTCTGCCCCTAAGTCCCTCTTGGATGGGGTTATCGGCCCTCCCACTGCCGCCTGCATGGGCCGGGCCCTGCCAGCCTGTCATAGGGGTTGCTGCTTGGAGGTTCCTCTGGGGTGCAGAGAGCTGCTGTCAGATCCCAGCCTCCAGGGTGGAGTCCAGACAGCTGGTGCCGTGTGATTCCGTCCATCAGCATGGCCCTGAGGGCCTGGCCAGCATGGCCAAGACCCCAAAGCCACACCCCAAGCGACCGCCCCAAGGACAGGCCCCGCCTGCCAGGCACTCTCGCTTCCCACAGCACGTGAGGGTTCCTGGAGCCAGGCAGAGGGACTGTGCAGAGGTGTGCTCCCCCTGTGGGGTTTGTTTTGGGCTTTCTCTTCAGTGTCTGCTCCCCACTCTCTGGCCTCCCAGTTTCAGTTGTGTCTCAGAGCATTAGGTTTTCCTGTTACCGCTGTTTAATAATAAAAGAAAGATTCTGCTTTTGGCAATCATGGGCACTTTTTCCCACCTCCAGTGTAAGCAGTAAGAAATAGCTTCTTGGGAGTCAGATTCTGACCCCTGGACTCACCAAACATGCAAAGAGAGAGCTGTGTCTTGGAGAGGGTGCAGCCAGAGTGCTCCTTGGAGGCAACGATGATAATGCTTTGTCTCACACACTTGGTGCATGTTGCTAGGAGAGGCTATTCCTTGGAGAGGCACATCGTGCTTGGAAAGGTAGAAGTATGGTGAAGGAGAGGAAGACCCTAAATAAATAGATGGACACAGTGACTGCGGCAATGGGCTCTAGCATGTCACATTGTGAGAATGGCACATGATAGGACAGAGTTCAGATCTGCTGTTCATAGGCTTGCTGTGAGTCATTCTCAACTAGAAGGCCCCTAACAACAACAAAATATATTGTATGTATCTTCTTATTTTTAAAAAGAGAAAGTGAATTAAAACCATGACAACAAGCATGCCAGACCAGTGTGTCAGGTCCTGAGGGCCCCAGTCCTCCAGTGTTGTAAAAAGAGAAGGCTGGCCACTGATCCTGGCTCCTCCCGCCAAAGCTAACACCACAGTCTTTTGGGATGTCCCCAGGGGGACCAAGGTCTGCAGTCTGGTCCCTCAGCTCCCTGCCCTCTGAAGCCTCAGCACCTGGGACTGGCTTCCATTGGGGCAGTTAAGAAAAGACAGAAGGGACAGTAGGCAGGCTGGGCCAGACCTGGTGCTGACCAGGTTCCCAAGAGAGTACAACCAGGCCCGGGATAAGGCCATGTGGAGACCTGCCCCTGACTTCTCAATACCCTCTTCCACCTGGAGCAAGCTCTGGCCCAAGAGTTAAGTAAGGTCTAAAGAAGGAGCTCCTGGGAGCTCTGGTGGCCTAGTGGCAAGAACCTGCACTGCAATCCCAGAGGTACGCGGTTCGAATCCACCAGATGCTGTGCTGGAAAAGGAGGGGCAATCTCCTCCTGTACCAGTCAGATCCGATTTGACAGTACACACACACACACACACACAAAATAATAAAATTTAAAAAAGAGGAGCTCCCCTAGGAACCCCACCCCTGTGGCCCCAGGTCCCTTTTGCCCCCAGCCACACTCTCATGTCCTTCAACACAGGGCATCCTGCACCTCGACAGACACTGCTACCCTCCCATGGAAGCTAGGCAATGGAAAGGTGACCCGCTAATGTCACCATGTTGCCAGGGGACCACCAAATTGAAACACACATCTTCACCTCACCTCAAAGTCTGGGCTGCACACAGCTGGGGTCACCACCCTGCATGGAGCTGGGGGGCTTGACTCAAGAGCCCTGGCTGGGGCACTCCCCAACCCTGCCCTGCCCCTGACCCCTTTGAGTGCATTGCCTAGGGAACGCCTGGCAGGGTCCATCACCAGAGGGTCACAGAACCACCAGCAGGATGGGTGTTCCCATCCCACCCCTGCTGTTCCCATCCCACCAAGGGCAGAAGTGACATGTAGGATAGCTCCCCGACTGGGGTGATTATGGTAAACTGACGCTGGGAGAAGTGGGCTCTTCTTCCTGGGACCCAGTATACAGTGCAGGGAGAAACTGAGGCAGAGGGCTTTCCCATCCTAGAGCCCTGTCACACCAGTAGGACACTCAGAGGATGCCACGGAGGGGCCCTTGCTGCTTCAGAAGTGCTTCCGGATGGGCCTGCTGTCAACCTCTCCCCTCTGGATACCTTCACAACCCTCCCTCTGTCTCTGAGGGAGGGTCCCCCAGTGCCCTCTCCTCCCACGCTCCCTGAAGTCATCCAATGTGTAGAAGTCTCCCTCTCACCTCTGGGGCCTTGTTAAAGTGTCAAGTCTGATAGAGTAGATCTGGGGTGGAAATGCAGATTGCTGGGGCAAGAGTGGCAAGACTTAATTATATAATTAAGACAAGCTTGGAAGGAGGATTGGCATCCACTTCCCAAACCACATGCCTCTGGAGATTCTATGAGCTTTGAGAAACGACAATAGTTATAGAAAGGCTTCAGTTCGTGCCTTTGTTCATAGGGTCGCTATGAGTCGTGCTTGGCTCAATGGCAGTCAATAACGTGTGTGTGTGTGTGTGTGTCTCCATAACAAAACATTTGCCATTTCAACGTTTTTCACACAGACAGTTCCGTGACCCTAATTAGCTCTATGAGGAATACGTTAGTCTAGTCGCAAGGGAATTGCCCAGTCTCACCAATCAGTTGAGCAGATTCAGTGGCAGGTGTTGGGAATCTCACCTCCAGCAGAGAATGCAGAGCATGCGATAGAAATTGTTAAGCTAAGGGGAGCTCTCGTGGCCACTGCACTGCAATCCCAGAGGCACATGGTTTGAATCCACCAGATGCTCTGCTGGGGAAGGAGGGACAGTCTCCTCCTGTACCAGTCAGATCTGATTTGACGGTACACTCACAGAAAAATAATAAAATTTTTTAAAAAAAGAAATTGTTAAGCTAGAAATTGAGGGAGTGGAGGATTGGGGGCGGGGGAGATAAAAAGATATAAAAAAATAGGCTGGGGGTAGCATAGAGCTGGACAATGACTAAGGCTGACAGAAGAATCATCGTTTGTGAGCTGTGCTGGGGAAGAGGACAGACAAAAGGACAAACAGGTATGTCCTGAGAGCAGTGACGTGCTCCTTGGAGGCAAGGATGGAAAGCTTTGTCTCACATAGTTTGGCCACGTTGCTGGGAAAGGCTGTTCCTTGGAAAGGGACGTCTGCTTGGAAGGGTGGAAGGTCGGCAAAAATGGGCTCAGGTGGGTCAGAGATGAGGCTGGCACAGGTTAGGATGGGTCAGAACGGTTCTTCCTAAAATCACTTCGGAGTCGTTCTTGACTCTGGCATCTGGCATTTAACAACGACAACAAATTATCTACTTTTTCAAATTTTTTCCCTCACCTTTAACAAACTCAGTCCAATTAAAACAGTAACTCCCCATTTCTGCCTCCTTCCCTTCCCTGTTACAGTAGCGTGGACCTTGTGATTGTTTAGTGATCTCTGGTGCACAATTTCCCTTGGTTTTCACCACATCACCCACATTCTTACTGAATATTCTGTCCTGCCAGACACTGTGTATTTGAAACGGGGCTTTGCATCTATAGGAGTTGAAAGAGAAACAGGTGCCAGCAGACCCAAGAGTAGAATCTTAAGTGAGACCATGTGAAAGTGTTCACTACAGATTAGTACATAAACCCAGGCTTACTTGCTTATTGGTTAATCCAGCATTGCCTCGTTACCAGTAATAGGCTTTGATTGCTATACATTTGCGCGTGCCCTAAATATTCCACATGGAGCCTAGTCCTTAGGGAACTGCACTACTGATCTGAAGGCAGCGTCTCCCTGGTGCCTCCACCAGATGTTCTGCAGCAGAAAGATGGGCAATCTCCTCCCGTGCAACCTACAGCCTCTTGGCTTAGTGGTAAGGAGCTGAGCTGTGTACACAAAGACACGAGGTTGGAATCCACCAGCTGCTCCACGGGAGAAGGATGGGCAGTCTCCACACGTGTGATTTGCTCTCTGAATGCCCACTGGAGGGTCAGCTATGAGTCAGTTCTGACTTGATGGTACTCAGTAACAGGGCCAGCTATGGTTCTGACTTGATGGCAGTGAGAGTTTGAGAGATGAGACCATACAATAATAAATACAATAAAAGTGGAACCACATTTGTGTTCTATGTCCAGTTTCTTTCATTTCGGATAACTTTTTCAAGGTTCATCTGTGGCATACGTGTATCCTGCTTTTATTTCTCTTTATGACTGAATAATACTTCTGGCGGTGGATATCACCTTTGGTCTGTCCACTCATCTGTTGATAGGCATTTAGGTTGTTTCCACCTGGGTCTGGTGTGTGGACGTTGATGTTAGATATCTCTGAGTTGACTATAAGAACACTGTATTGCCAAAGGGGCCCTTTAGAGTAGTGAGAGATCTTCACCCTGAAACCTACAGCGTCCCTTTTCAACAGGAAGTAGCTAAGAGAATATGCCATCCCCTTTTCCTTATGAATCAGGGTCAAGTCTCTCTCAGGGAGGAGTGATAGGGAATGGCAAAGGACACACTGACAAAGGAGATTAATCAGAACTGGCTTTGACAAGCACTGTGGCAATTGGACAATTAAAACAGACTTTCAAGGGGGGGAAAAAGAAGAACGAACTGGGGAGGAGGATAGACAAAATAGTGCAACAATGAATAAATGAAAATCCCAAATCCTTGTAAATATTCATTAAAATTAAAATTTAATAAAAAAAAGAACACTGTGAGCAACAGATCTGAACTTTGCCCTGTCCTGCGCCAC